AAAACACAAGGTGAAGAAGTAAGCTGGGCCAGGGATTTAGCTCAGTGGTTCCACCGCCTGCCTCGCAAGTGCAAAGTCCCAAGTTTGATCCCCGGTACCAGAAAAAAAAAAAGAATGAGGAAATAATTTTCAATTTGTGGCTTACTTTTTTTTTTCGGTACCAGGGATTGAACTTGGGACCTTGTGCTTGCGAGGCAGGTGACAGAACCGCTGAGCTAAATCCCCAATAAAATTAACTTTTTAAAAAAGAAAATTGTTTGCTGTACATTGACTCACCAAAACATGTTGACAATTGCAAGTCAATAAGAAAATTCCACTCATGTGTATCTTAGAGAAAAACTCTTATACTACAAGCCATTTACATGTGTAGATGCAGTTTTTAATAGCAAAATCCCGAAAATAACTCACATGTCCTTTGTTAGTAGAATAATTTTTGACATAATCACATACTGGAACATTTGCTGTCATTAAAATTCGTTAGCTGTAATTGCACAGAGCTAGAAGTTGAAACTTAGGAACATTCTGTTGAATTAGAAAAAGAAATACAGTATGATTCCACTTAAAGGTTAAAAGTACAAAATTACTGCAACTATAAAATAACAGGCATGATAAATACAAGATCAGGAGGGTGATTGCTGATGAGCAGGGTAGACAATGCAATTGGACAGGCACCTACATGGTACTTCAAGGATAACAGCACTAATTTATTCCTTCTTCTGCAGGAGAGTACAAAAGTGTATATTACATTGTTATTCTTTATACCTTCTCATCATATGTATCCTACTCAATTAAAAATAAAGAAAAGATAAGCATTTGCCCATTGGTGACAGCCAGGAATAGCAGAGGAGGGCATCAAAGGCCTGACTGGGCTTGGGATGAAAGCTGGGACTTGCCCCATCGCCCTGAGTATTTTTGAGGTGATCCTAAAGGCAGAACTAACTCAGTAAACTGAATCTCACTCTCCATAAACACCTAGCCATTCCAATGCTCCCCCCTCCCCTGAATCACACCTATTCTAAATAGTTCATAGACCAGGCTTCAAGTGAGAAAAATTTCCCAGTGGATTTATGGTGATTGAAGTGTAATGAACATGATCTTCACATGAGGTTTTCAAAGTCTTCTTGCTTTCTGTATTGAGGGTGGGGTCCTGTTGGTGATTAATGGAGAGGTATAGGGGAGGGACTCTGTCTAGGGAAGACATGGCAAGAGTGGTTAAGGAGAGGAGATAACATGAGAAGAAAAAGACTTTTACGATTTTTTTTTTTTGGTACCGGGGATTGAACTCAGGACCTTGTGCTTGTGAGACAGGCACAGTGCCACTGAGCTAAATCCCCGGCCCAATTTTTATTTTTTTAAGAAGCCCTTAGTCTCTGTGTAAGCCTGAAGTTCTTTGTGTTATGGAGTTTTAGGGGTGAGGATGCATCTAAACACTTTTCATTTTGACTTTTTATTATGGCCGGCTAGACTTTTCTTCCTCTTTCAAGGCTGCTGAGTCTTTCACACTACATCAGCTGCAAGGCTGACTGCCTCACTGCCTTCCCCCACACCCATATGCAGTCACCTCTGGATTCCCTGGGGCCTCCTGCACAAAAACATATGCTTTTCAGTTAATGGAAAATTAATTTTAAATGCTTATTTTAGACTGAGAAAGATCCACTCTCCCTTGCCCATGCTGATCTTTGATTTTTGCACAGCTGAATGGTCATGTTGTCCCTCCCTCTGCCTGTAAACAAGACTGCCTTTCCCCCACTTCTGATGACTTGTCTCCCCTCCACATAATGTACTGAGGGCCTGCTGGGTGCTCTTGCTATGACAGGGAAGGAAAGATTGTAGTCCTTGTGAAAAGAGGCAGGGGACTCAGCCTTGAGGAGACCTCAACCAACCAGCAAACATGTGGAAGCAGAGACAATGGCCTCCCCTGAGGCCAGCTGGAGCTGAAGAGAGGTGCTGTAGCCTCTGTATCACCCTTATTCCTGAGGGTCCTCAGGTTTCTCAAGCTATCAGTTGCCTCCTGTCTCTAATTTCCTCAGGATCAGTGGCTTGAGCTTTGGCCATGAGCCTCAGCCTTGGGCTTGCTGCTAGGGCCCCTGGAAATTGGTTTTATTTTTTTCCTTTGCTCTTTCCCAAGGGACTCATCTTGCCTTGTACTCAGATTTCCACTGAGACTGAACAGCCTGTGTCATGCTGCAGAAACAGAGAGCTGACTCCAGAGAAATTTGTGTAAAAAATTGTTTGGGCTTTGGATGGTCAGAGCCTATTGGGGACAAATCCGATATCTGCCTTGGTGTCATTACCAATCATTTCCCCCTGTATTTTTTTTTTTTTTTTTTTTTGGTGGTTTTAAAGGTCGGACTTCAGACCTTTGTGCTTGCCAACAAGCTGCCGAATCTCTCTATGGTTTTGTTTTTTTTTTTTTTGGTACTGGGGATCGAACTCAGGTGAGGCAGATGACGGCACCACTGAGCTAAATCCCCAGCCCTTCCCCCTGTGTCTTGCTACATTCTAGTCATTAGAAACATGTGAAGTTTGGGATGGGTTGAGGCAGGGCACTTGAATTCTCACCATTGATTTCCCAGTGCTGTTCTTCAAGCAATTTCTCACCTTCTGTTCCCTCCCTCCTCCTGTTTTCTGTTGCCTCACTGGTGACCTGGATGTTTGTTGCATTGGTTTTTCCCAGGAAGCACATAAAACCCAGCTGATTGTCAGACATGCTTTGAAAGGGCTCTGAGCTCTGTAGGGGGATTCATGAACAACTGAGAGTGCTGCCATTCCATCCACAACCCTAAGGATGCACATGGTGCCAGAACCAACCTGGCCAAATCTGAATGATGACAGCCAATCACAAACTTGACAACAGGTGCGTGGAGATGAGACAGTTAGATTTACTTCTTCTTTTCTAATTTAAGAGGTTTCATGTTGAAAAAAATCAGTGTGTTGAGGTTGTAGGAGACCTCAGTGCAGGCAGCATGAAGCTGGGCTGTGCCCTCACAGCCTGGCCCCTCTACATGTCCCCTGCTATACTCTGGGCAGTGCAGATGTTACCAGGTAAGTACAGTGTTTGAGTGTTGGTGTGGGAATATGCCTGACTTTGGGAAAAGACCCAGAGGAAAGAAACATGAACTAACTTTGTCTCTCCAAAGAATCACTGTTCAGGGGGATCAAAAGATGAGGTATAAGAAAGTATGGTGTGCAAGACTGAATGGCTCTTTCTGAATATAAAAATATTTACGCCTTTTCCTTCTCAAAAGTCCCATCCAACTGCAATGCTTTCTCTAGCTACATCCTCAACTTTTACTTTTCTGATACAAGTTTTCTGAAAGACTGCTCTGCTCTTGCTGTCCCCACTTCCTCACGCCTCACTCTCTCTTCAATGCTTGCAGTCTGGCTTCTGCTGGAATCTGGTTTGCAAAGGGCACGATGATCTCCATACTCACTAGGTCCTTGATTGACACTTACTGCTCTTATCTTGCTGGACTCCTCTGCTGAACAGGGCACTGGTGATCGGTTTGTTTTTTTTTCCCCTTTCTTTCTTGCATTCTCTACTCCCTTGGCTCCCATGTCACCATTTCCCCTTGTACTACTTGCACCTCTCTTGGTCCCTTGGTAGCATCTCCTCTTCCCTTTAAGCACTAATGTTCTCTATAGTTACATCCTTGCTTCTCTACTCTTTTTTTCTTTTCACAGTCCCCTTCATGAGCTTATTATCTGTATACACTTTGCCACAATAACTGCATATGTAAGAGCCCTAAATTATACCTTCAGCTGTACCCAGGCTTTTGACTTTCACATTTATAGACGAAGCATGTCTGCCTCCAGGTCTCACAGACCCTGCAGTGAAATGTGACCAGAGATGGACTCACCAGTCATCTGGGCCCCCACTTCTTCTAATTCATTTTTCACTATTTCTGATCTCAGTTAATGGCAGCAGAATCCACCCCAAGCTCCGGGCCAGAAACCTGAGAGACAACTTGGCCTCTTCCTTTTCTTTCATTCTCCTTATCTGATCAAGCGTCGAGTTTGGCACATTTCACTTCTGACATTGTCTTCGAGCCAGTCGTTTCCTGAAACATCACTAATGCTGTCCTAAGTCACGTAGGACTTGGGCCAGTGCAGTGACTGCCTAACTAATCTGTCAGCCTGGTGTCCTGCAATGAATTCTGTGCTCTGCAGCCTGAGTTCCAAAACTCAAGCCTATCAGCCCAAACTCCTTGTCACTGCACACAAAAGCCACCCAAACCTGGCACCTATTAAGCCTCTTCAGCATCTACTGCCACCTTCTAAGCCCCGTGACCTGTGCTCTAGAAAACCTCTATCAGCTTGCATTTGCACCTTCACAATCCAGACATTTACCTGTCTCCAAGGCTTTGCTTATCTTCTACTTCTACCTGAGATGAGCTCTCTCCATGGCCCCCTAGTCCCCTTCCCCTTAAAGACCTCTAGGTATCCTTAGGGATCTAACCTCAATGGCATCTTCTCTAAGAAGCCTTCGTTAAGCTCCTCAATGGCTGCCTGAGGTACCGCTCTTCATGCTGAAATAATCTTTTCACATACCCGTGTCTTCCACTACACTGACAGCTATGTGTGGGCAAGGACCACTTTAGTTTTGTGGCAAGAACTGCAGACTTGGAATCAAACATGCTAGTTTCAAACCTCTCTTCTAATTAGTAGTTCTATGTCACTTTGAAAAAGTAACTTTTAATATTTATGAATTCAGTCTTCTCATTTGTAAAGCATAAGGCGTACAGAGTGAAAAAATGCCTCGTAGCCCCTAAGACTTTATTTTTAAAAAGGGAAGAAGCCAGAGACCAGTAGAGTGACAGTGGGGAACTGAAAAGATGCAGCAGAGTAGTGAACAGAGCCAAGAGAAGATCAAAAGAAAACACCCGGTGTGACATGGTGTGAATAGGGAAGTAGAGGGAGCTTTGATAAGGGAAGTTACAAAGTCAAAGAAGCATCTTGGGCCAATGGGAGTGGAAGAGGACAGGGCAGTGGGTCAGGACAGGATGGAGTAAAGAACTGAGCACCTATGAATGGTGGCTGGTGGCTTCCAGGTGGCTGGAAGAGAGTGAAAGAGACAGAGGGGACAAGGAGCAGTTGCAGAGATGGGAGAAGTCACATTTACCTTGCCTGTGTCAATCATGAAGACAGGTGGTATGTTGGTGCGAGATCTATAACTACATTTCAACCCAGAGGCACAGTGTTGTTGCCTAGTTACCATACAGTGATGAAATAGGGGGCCGGGGTAGAGGGGAGGACACAGGAAGGGCTCTGTCATCACTAGGGGAAGTTCAAGCAGCAGAGGGCATCTGTTCAGATCACTGAAAACTGAAGACCTGATGGGACAGCAGAGAGGGAGGAGAGACACAGTGAGGTACTGAGAGCTCCTTCATGGATAAGCTAGTCTAGACTGAAGAGACACATTAACTATGGGAAAACAAAAGGATGAAAGAAAAGTCCCCAAGGAACCTCTGAGGACTGACCCAGACCCTATCTGCACAGTGGAGTGCAAAGAACCATGAGCTTGAGCTCAGACACACTTCCCTCCCTTGCTCCATCCTTTATTCTGTTTTTAAACTTTAGGTGTTTTAATGTACTTTGGAAAGCCTGTTTCTTTAACATTTACAAAACGGTGATGAATCACATGTCTGGAAAGATTGTGAAGATAAAATAAGATAATATACAAAAGTAGTGTGCAGCAGTGTGTGGTTCATGGAGAGCAACCCATGAATGTTAGAATCTAATGTCCATCTTTCCCTCTCTTGCCATGCCTGCCGGCTCTGGGGTCATGGCTGTCTTCGACCTCTGATTCCTGCACCAACAGGTGGATGTCATGCCAGTGAGTTCATCATTCTTTCAATCTCTCTTCTTTCTCTTCCCTGAACCACAGTCCTTTCACTGAGAGTGCCTGGACACCAGTAAGCCGAGGCCAAAAGCATCCTCCGGAGAGACCCATAGGTGTCTCTTGGAATAATGTATTTGATATCTCCCTCTTCTTGCTCTGAAAAGGACAATTCCCCCAGGAGAGAGGAGGAACCCTCACAGAGGCCCATTTTCTGTCCTTTCTTCTAAGCTACAGCATCATTTTCTGGCTGTCCCTCGTCCATGGCCTCTTCAGCTGCCATTTTGGAGATTCTGGAGTGTGAAGGATCTGTCAGCACCAAGGAGAGCAGCTGCCACGCCAATGATGATGGGACCAGCACAGAGGAAGCTGACTTTGAGGTCAAGGGCTACACTTTCAGCGAACCCTTCCATCTGATTGTGTCCTACGGTGAGGTCATGGGAAGGGCTGGCCAGTGTCCCAACCCCTTCTTCTAGTTCCACAGGTGACTCAGGAAAATGCCCCCAGGAAACTAGCCATGGCTTGAGGTACTGTCTTCACTGTCTCCAGACCCTACAAGCCAGGATGCCCTCAGTCCTAGGCCCTAGAGTAGGTCCATATTTGAAACTGGGTCAGTCTTGCAGGTAGGAGAGAGTGGTAAGAAATATACAGTGATACCTCAGTTGTCGAATGGCTCCAAGCTCGAACTTTCCACTTGAACAGCAAAGTTAGAAAAAAATCTACTTGGGTTTTGTAACTTTGCTCCATCGTCAAACTGAAAATCTGACTTGCAAAAACCTGTAGGGGCTGAGTCGCACATCGCAACTCGTCACAGACACAAAGGGGTGACGCTTCGGTCTAAGCGCTGCTCTTACCCAGACAACATATGGTGCTTTTGTGTTAGTGTGTTGGAACATTGGTCATTGTGCTTTTTTTTTGCACTTTATTTGCATAAAATATCATAACCATGGCTCCAAAGAAAGTTAGTGATTCCCTCAGTGAAGCTAAAAGGAAAACTGTGAGAAGTGCAATAGAGTTAAAGAAAGAAATCATTGTGAAACTTGGAAAGCTGTGGAAAAATGAATTTCTAAGTGTAATTTTGGGGCCTCAGAACCAATTATTTGGTTTTCCATTATTTCTTATGGGAAAAATATGCTCAGTTCTCAAACTTTTCGATTTGAACACTAATTTGGAACGAATTGAGTTTTACAACCAAGGTATCACTGTATAACTCTAAGTTTCTTTTTCTTTCTTTTTTCAATTTGTTGAGACAGGGTCTAGCTATATAATTCAGGCTGGCCTTGAGCTCACTATGTAGGTCAGACTGGCCTTTAACTGGCCTGTCATCCTCCTGCCTCAGCCTCCTGAGTGGTGGGATCATAGGTGTGCACCACCACACCTAGCTCATAGCTCTTAAATTTCAACCTGGAGGCAAAAAATTGTTCTATGTTTACAAGTTCTATCTGGGAGTAGGGGGTCAAGGGAAGGCAGGCGGGCAGAGGACTTTGATACTGCTAAGAAAAGTTCAAGGGACAGAGGGCATGATGGTAGATCTCTAAGGAGTGAGTTACCTGGACCCTTAGAGAAAGTTTAGGTGAATCTGTTGGGGGCATCACTTGGGGAGTTCCCAAGGGAGACAGTGGTTGATACTTCACTCTTGCTCTTGGTCACAGACTGGCTCATCCTCCAAGGTCCAGCTGCACCCATATTTGAAGGGGACTCACTAGTCCTGCACTGTCAGGCCTGGCAAGACTGGCCACTGACTCAGGTCACCTTTCACCGAGATGGCTCCGCCCTCGGTCCCCCTGGACCTAAAAGAGAATTCTCCATTGCTGTGGTACAAGAGGCAGACAGCGGGCACTACCACTGCAGTGGCATCTTCAGGAGCCCTGGTCCTGGGAGCCCAGAGACAGCATCTCCCGTGTCTGTCACAGTCCAAGGTGAGAGCTGAAGGTCATATGGCTCTGGCAGAATTGGGTGAAGAGGGACAGGGTGCTCAAAATCATCTTCCTTTGGCCTGGAAGTAGAAAGATTGTTGAAGCCTTGAGGTGCAGGTTGCTGGCAAATGCCTACTTTGGATTTTAGGAGGGTCAGTATCTCTGCCTTTCCAGTCATTCAGCCCCATGCAGAGTTCAGTGGGTTGCCTACCACCCACATCTACTTTCTGGTACTTGCAGATTTGATGTCTGAACAGTGGTCAGATTTGCCCATCTCCAGCTCTTTCCTAGTCCTGTGTACTTAGAGAGAGAGAGAACTTGAAAAGTACCAATGGATCTTTCTTAGAGGGCCCATTCCTGACGGAAATGAGAAAGAAAGTATGATTGATGCTTTGCCTCTTGCGGGTCTCCTGGAACATAGGATTGCTGACCTGTTCTTTCTTGCCTATCTTTCAACCCAGAACTGTTTCCAGCCCCAGTTCTCAAAGCCTCACCCTCAGCTGAGCCCCAAGAGGGAAGCCCAGTGACCCTGAGCTGTCAGACAAAGCTGTCCCCTCAGAGGTCAGCTACCCGCCTCCTCTTCTCCTTCTACAAGGATGGAAAGACAGTGCGAAGCAGGGATCTGTCTTCAGAATTCCAGATCCTCACAGCTTCAGTAGAGCACTCTGGGTCCTACTGGTGTGAGGCAGCCACAGAGGACAGCCAAGTTTGGAAACATAGCTCCCAGCTGGAGGTCAGGGTGCAGGGTGAGTTCCTATATTTGGTGCGCATGCACATGCGCACGCGTGTGTGTGTGTGTGTGTGTGTGTGTGTGTGTGTGTGTGTGTAAATGTGGAGGGAGAGACAGGATGACTGGGTCCAGGAGCTTGTGTTCAGTGAAAGAAAGGGAAGAAAGGACATAGAAGAATCAGGAACAATAATCCAGAGTCCCTGATGATGGAAGAAAACACCAATAGAGAACGGCTTTCTCAGACCATGGTGTACAAGACTAAGACTCAAGCCAGCCCTATCCTGACTGTCCCACAGAACTTAGAATCCCTATCTTACCTCTGGGTTTTTATAGAAATATTATATCTAGAATGAGGAATGGCATCTGTGGTAAATTCTGAGAGCTGCCATTAGGAAAGTTCTACTCGACCTAAAATACTGCCAGAGGAATTATCCAGGGTGATGAGGCTTGAAGCTGTGGAGGATGAAAATAATGAAAGAGCCTGGAGATTCTCATCCTGAATAGGAGGTAGCTCAGGGGGGACTGGGAAGAACATCCTCAAAAAGGTGAAGGCTGGCAAAAGAATGAGGAATTTGACTAATGTCATATACAACAAAGGAGTTGACCAATGATCAATTAGATTCTGTCTTAAAAGAAGAGAAATTGGTGAATAGTCACAGACATATAGTGTGATCAGGCTAATCATTGGAGCACAGGTAGCCAAGGTTCAGATGAAAACCTGGATTGGGGCCACCGCCTGCCTCACAAGTGCAAGGTCTTGAGTTCAATCCCTGATACCAAAAAACCCCACTTGGATTGGGAGTGACACTAGAGTCTTCAAGTCCCGCTGCCTTTAGGCTCCACAGCCACTTTCAGAGAACAAGAAAGATTGACATGAGAGTAGGGTCAGAGTCCAACTTCACTCTCATGTGTGCTACAATTCAGGTCCCTCCAGCTCTGCTGCCTCTCCCACCTTGAATCCAGCTTCTCAGAAATCAGCTGCTTCGGAAACAAGTTCTACAGAGCCACCCAGGCCTGTGCCTCCACTAGCCACCCCGACTTCTGAGGCCCCAGTCTTCTGCCCTCCTGACCCCCATCTGCATCACCAGATGGGCATTCTTCTCAAGCACATGCAGGATGTACGGGTTCTCCTTGGTCACCTGGTCACAGAGCTGAGGGACTTGTCTGGCCACCGGAAGCCTGAGACCACAAAGCCTCCTGCCAAATGAAAGTACATGAGTCACCCACGATGGGGCTCAGACACTCCCTGTGAATCCAGCTCTATTGTCGATTTCTGTCCTGCACATAGGCATAAATAGTTTTATAAGCTGTCCCAGCATCTTGTTAGAATAATGAAGGTAGGTGAGTACAAATAAATTTGTATGAAGTGATAGCTGGAGTTTAGCTCTAATTGTGTGTTCTCAACACGACAAGATAATTCTTCTCTGTCTAGATCAATAGTTACCTTTCATTGTCCCCACCATAATCTGGTGATTGAAAGAGAATCCATGCAGGTGGATTTAACACAGCAGTAGCAACTGGGCCAATTTAGCAGTGTTCCCTGGACATATTAGTCCTCACATGTGTGTGCTACTGGCATCTTGTAAGAAGCCAGGGGTGTGCTCATCCTCCTATAAAAGTACAGAACAGTCCCTCCCCGCAACAGAAGGTTACCTATCTCAAAATGTCAGTGGTGCCCAAGTTGAGAAACCCCTGCCTAACAAAGCTGATGTTGAGCTCTGGGAACAGCCTTTGCCTCTCCTAATCCTCAGTCTTCCCTCCCATCCTCCTTCAGCGAGTGTTAATCACGTGCTAGTATTTAGGTGGCCCTATGGTCTGAGTATTGGTTTTCCCGCAAAATTCATATGTTGAAATCCTAAGCCCTAAGGTGATGTTATTAGGAAATGGGGTCTTTGGGAAATGATTATGCCATGAGGGCAGAGCCCCTGTGATTGGGGTTGGTGCCCTTATAAAAAAGACCCCCAGAGCTGGCCTGCTCTTCTGCCATGTGAGGACACAGCAAGAAGGTACTGTCTATGAATTAGAAATTGAGCCCTCACCAGACACCAAATCTGCTGGCTCCACTTAATCTTGGCCTTTCCTGTCTCCAGAACTATGAGAACTAATTTCTCACCCAATGAGGGGCAGCCTGGCAAGCCCTACAGTAACCTTGGTCAGTGAGTTAGTGTACAATGTTATAATGGCCTCAGCCAATGAATGTTCGACCATCCTGCATTACGTGGTGATGTCTCCCACTGTGGCTTTTCTTTGTGGCATTTCTTTTACCTTCTTTCTCCCTTTTTGTTTTCTTTTGTGGTGCTTGGGATTGAACCTAGGGCCTTATGTATATATGCTCTATCACTGAGCTACACCTTCAGCCCCATAGATCACATATTAAGATTTGCTGTTAGGAAGAGTAAAAGGGAAGATGGATATGACAAAAATATGTGACATGTATGATGAAAATAACATATTGAAATCCAATGTTTTCTAAAATTAATCCATACTAATAAAGAATATATTTTTTAAAAGTTGGTGTGTTAGTGCATAGCTATAATTTCAGCACTCTGGAAGGCTGAGGAAAGAGGTTGGAAAATTTGAGCCCAGCCTGAACAACTTAGTGACTTAGTGAGACTGTTTCAAAATAAAAAATTTAAAAAAGGAATTGGGTGTGGTGGTGGACGTCTGTAATCCCAACACTCTGGAGGCTGAGGCAGGAGAATTGCCCTGATCTTGAGGCCAGCCTGGGCTACATAGTGAGTTCAGACTCAGTCTGAATTTCATGACGAGACCCTGCCTGTAAGTAAGTAAGTAAGTAAATAAATAAATAAATAAGTGGCTGAGGATGTGGTTTAGTGCAAAGGCCCTGGGTTCAATTCCGAGTACCACACACACACACACACACACACACACACAACAATTATTGCTGGACTAGATTATTATTTATCTGTTTCCAAAGAGAAGAACTCATTCATCTTTCTGTTCCTAAATTAATTCTGTATATATAAGAAAATAATCCCTCAATTCCAGGTCATTCATTTTAATATTTTTAGTTAGATGTTTTTGAAAAGTCTAAGTAAACTGCATGTTTCTTCATTCTGTAATACATCTGTGAGAAGAAGCAACAGAATGGTTTTTCTCCTAGAAACAATGCTGTAACATCAGAACTTTTAATTTAAAAAACTTCTGAATTTGCATTAAATTTCTTTTTTCCTCCAAGCATTTATCATTGATATATAAAAAATATTTTTAAAGTATTCATGCTCAGGGCTGGAGTGTAGCTCAGTAGTAGAGCACTTGCTAGTGTATGCAAAGCCCTGGGTTTGATCCCCAACACCACAATAAATAAATAAACAAATTAATTAATTAATTAATCCTCAGAGACAGCATTAGCATCTCCACAGACCTGAAAGAAAGTGAAGATAATAAAGGGCACAAGCTAGGCTTCAGATCTGGAAGCCCACAATTACAGCCTCATGCAATTGTCAATACAATCAACATGAAAATTACATAATTTCAATGTATTTAATTAAAGGTTTAAAAAGCTAGCTGAGGAATCTATATGTAAATTTAACCACCCGTCAGATCCTTATTAACTCATTTATTACTTTTCTCTTTGGTAGACACAAAGAAATGACTACACCGAATGTTAATTGTTTTGTGTTAACCTGTTACTAGAAATAAACAAACTAGACAAGGATAATTTCATTTATGTGGACAATCTACCACCTCCCTGAAGGAAAGGTAATGTAATGCTGAGAAAGAGAAGAAAGAGAGAGCTAGAAATTCAGCTACTGTGAGTTAAGGGGACCAAAAGCTGCAGAGGAAGAGTGTGAGAAGTGCCTTCTTCCATGAAAATAAATTGTAAAAAGATTTTCCACTGTTTACTTAAAGTTTTGTCCCAGGGGTAGAATGAGGGAACAGAAACATCAAAGCAACCAGAAACAAACACCTAGGCCGATCACTAGCTGGCTGAGTGACAGGATGTGATGCTGTACATAGCTACAAAGTAGTTGGCCCAATTGCTGGTGCTGGATTGAAGACTCAGGGGCCTGGGGAAAGACATCTTAACAGACAGTTCACTAACTCAACTCCAGGGAGATCAAATCACTCTCAATTAACTGCAAATAGCAGGATAGCCCATAAAGCCTTTAAAAGGAGTTTAGGATCTCACAGAAATGAAGAAATAATATCTACTAAAAAAGAGCAAAAACTTTCAAAACAAAAACAAGCAGGAGCCATGGATTATGGTGCAAACATGGACAAGTCCAAGAACCGCACACATAGAACCAGTCTCCAAAATGACACAGACATGGCATCAGGAAACCTGGATCACAAAGACATGAACCTTTTAAGGAGGTAGACCTCGGGTTCCTAAGGAATGTGTACTTTTCCAAGAAGCACAAGAAGAGCAGGCAAACAATGTAAGGCCATGGGTGCACATGCCAAGGCAACGAAGGCCGTTATAAAGTCCAAGAAAGGTTCAGTCCAAGCCCCCAAAGGGTGTCTGTCAGCAACAAGCTCCATCGACTTGCCTACATCATTTGCCCAAGCTCAGAAAGTGTGCTCATGCCCACACGGCCAAGTGTTCTCAGGCTCTGCCAGCCAAGGCCAAGACTGCAGCTCTAATTCTGGGTCCAGCTCACATTCAGCTCCCCATGGTATCCAGGCCCCCACCATATGAAGGCTCCTTAGTAAAAACCTCTGTCAGCCAGTGTGAAGACAGAAAAACTGGTATGATGCCAGACCAGGGGGAGGGAGGGAAAAGGTCAGAGTGTGACATGAGGTCAAAGGTCAGACAAAAGCGCAATCTGGAGGTAAGGTCCCTGGGAAGGGTTTTGGGCTTTATTCTGAGGGCGATTTTTGAAGGAGAGAAAAACAATATGATTTATATTTATAAAGTATTTATCTGGTCACTTGCTGAAGAAATAATGATGAGAAATGATGTCTGTAGAAGGTAGAGTCGTCAGGACTTGGGAAAGGATCAGATCTGGACTTTGAAAGGAGGATAGGCACGAAGCTCATGACTGTACCCTACAGTCTCACTCCGGGAAGCCCTTCAGCAGCCCTGCAGGGAGTATCTGAGCTCATTAGTCTTGAAACAGGAGATCAGGGCATAGCAAAGATGGCTAGGGTAGTAGCATGACCTGTTAATTACAAAACCGCAGGCTCGTGCACAGAACATTTCCCAAAACCCTGAACGTGGACTTCTTGCAAGACCTTGAGGAGATTTCTGATAGGATGGCCTAGTCCTGATGTGAGCCTGAGGAGTGGGTGATACAGAAAGGACGGTCTACACTGAGTTTTTACCAGTGTTCTCTCTTGTGTGGTGGGCCATCCTCATGCTGTAGGGTGTACTTCTTTTCCTACTTTTACTGGGCCCAAACTAGTTCTGCAGAGCATTTCTTTTCCTAGTTTTAGTAAAACTTTGCTACATTTGCACTTGTCCTGACCGATTCTTTGCTCAGGACAGAAAGAACCTAAGAACCATGTTAACATGTTAACAGCCTCATTAGCCTCCTTTGTGCTAGGCCCTCTCCTAAGCCGCTTACATATAGCACTGTAGTTTATCCAGCCTTCCCCATACAAACTAAGAAGTTAGGTCATGATGGCACTGTCTGTGATAGCAGAGGGCAGGACAGCAGCCATCATGTCAGGGGAATGGACAAACAGCGGTATAATGGAAGCACACTGAGGAATATTGGGGCAGACAAAAGCAATAAGCAAGATGCACGTAGAACATGTGCATGAATCTTAAGCACAGGGGATTAATTTTAAAAGGCACAAAGATCCAAGTGTAGTGTTGCACACCTGTAATACTGGACCTCTGGTAGGGTGAGGGAAGATGGCAAGTTTAAGCCCAGCCTGAACGACTTGGAAAGAATCTGTCTCAAAATTTTAAAAAAGTTAAAAGGGCTAGGGAGGTAGCTCCATGCCCTGGGTTCAATACCCAATATCACTACCAATAAAAAAGTAGAAGAGAAAATCATATCTAGATCTCTGTGTCATTTATGTAAATTAATAATACTCCAAATGTCTCCAGGAGGAACAAATGCATATGTTGGGACATACAGTAAGCATTGCGCAGTGGATGCTTGTGTGGAGGGGCGATGAATGGCACTGTAGCCGAGAGCAGAGGAACAGGAAAAGAAGAGAAGGGCCTTGAAAAGACCAGGGGAGACAGCATGCCCTGAGCAGCACCGAGAGTCCCTGACAAGACACAAGAAAACGGATTTTGGACATTCAGTCATCCTGAATTCTGTCTGGCACCTCAGCTTCCTCAAGTGGAAAGCAGAGAGAATAACAATCCTTCCTCAAAGGGCCTGTGTGAGGATTAAATGAAGTTATACCTGTGAAGCACTCAGCATGGTGCCTGCCACACACCAGGGCATGAAACAGATGCCCATAAGAGTGAACTGGTATCATCATCAGCATTATTCCATTATCACTGTCATCACGGGATGTCTTTTATTTACCAGAACCCTTATCAAATAAGTGATGGCATATCTTTTCTGGAAGTTATGCTGTGACAGGCTTCCAAGAATTACTCAAGTACCAATAATTACTGACTTTCTCAATGCAGTAAAGCAGTAAAGAATTAACATTCTGGTAGCAGTGCCGGGCCCACACCTGTAATCCCAGCATTTGGGAGTCTCAGGCAGGAAGATTGCAGTGAATTTGAGGCCAGCCTGGCCTACATAGTGAGTTCAAGTACAAAGTGAGAGTTTCTCTCAAAAAAACCCAACAAAACAAAACAAAACCCAGAAACCCTTCCACACATTCTGTTAGGGGAAAGTGCTGGATGGAGAAAAAGATGCAATTTGAGGAAAATCCTGAGGAGAGCATAGAATAAAGAAACATTGGGCAGGATATTTCTCAAGTCAAATTAAGAGCTCTCTAAGATAATGAATTCTACAGTGGATTCCTGAGATTTTTCAGGGATGATTATATTGAACATGAATTTATGGCATGGGCGAGTTTCTTCTGGAACCCAGTAAAGTGGCTGAAATCTGTGTTCTGGATGATGAGAAGCCAAACTAGAATTCAGCTCTATAGTCCAAGAGGCCAGCAACCAGCCATGGGGCATTGTTAGAGCGGCCTTGTGCATAGGTCACACCTGGGGCAGGCTGCGGATGATGTGGGGAGCCCCTGACTGGCCCCAACATGAACGATTAGGCAGAGTGTTGGGAAAGACAGAAGCATTGCCCAGCCTGGTCACTGCTCAAGCAGAAAGCTGACTGTCTCTGCTCCCAGTGTCCAGTTCTTTGCCTCCCCCACTCCTGGGCACCTTATCCAGTGCTTCCCTACTTTCCAGACTTACATGGCTATCTCTCGTATCTTAACCTCCTCCCAAAGCACCATCTGAAGTGGCCAGCATAATTCAACCAGTGACCTTTCCCTCAGAGTCATTTGCATTTTTAACAGGGACTAGCATATTAAGCTAAGCTATGAGAGAATTCAGAGTGGAACCCTGGCCACCAGCAAAAGAGGAGGATGCTGTCTGGGGACTTGACGTCTGATAATTGACCTCCTGCCAGAGTTCCAACTGAAGGAGGCCCCCTGGTTCTCAACCAGGTGAGGCCAGGAGAGAGTCCAAGGAGACATACTATCAGGTTGGAAACTTCATTAAGTTTTTATGTGAAAATTTGGGCGCCTCATTGCTCAGGCCTGGTCACATGGCTCACAGAGCGCAAGAAATAGGGCCAAGAGTCAGATCTGAGGAACTTCTGAGGGGCTGATTCAGTGACTTCTCTGCCGAAGGTCAGGAGGTCCAGGAGCAGGGTGTGGTTGGGAGGGGCTGTAGGGCTCTTCGGAAGGAAAGAAGAAAAGAACAAGGGGGAGGGGGTGCCGCCAGGTGAGATCACTGGGATGAGTAGGAAAGACATTTTCTAACTTCTGAGGGTTTGAGATTTTAGGAAGGAAGGAAGAAAGGGAAGCACATTACCCTTATCTTTGGGGACCAGGAGGGTGGGGACACTGAAGAGCAGTTGGTGAGTCATGCCATTCTGTCCACTCTTTAGTGGGAGGATGTCAGCCCTGGTGCAGGGGACTCAGCGCTGTCCTCTCTGGGCCTCACACCAGGATCAGTCAGGGAATGAACAAAAGAAAGTCCCCCGTCTGCCTTGTGGATGTGAAGATGTGTCCCCCTCAACTGAGGCTTCCAGGGCTGGCTGGTGGGGACAGAGTGGAAGTGGGCTGTCGATGAGGGGCTGAAGATGGCAGGGTCACTTGTGGGAGCCTGAAGACCTACCTGGCTCTCTTATGCTACAGAGGGCACAAGCCCAGCTGACCCTACAGGAGCCAAGGCTGGCTTGAGCTGTACTATGGCTACTGGGATGGTAGACAGGACTGTGCCTGATGCTTGTGATTCCTTGAGGGCGACACATATTCTGCCTGTCTCCTGCTCTCTCCAGTCCACCACCTTCAGGAACTAGGAATGGGTGGGAAATGTGTCTCCTAGTGCTCAGCCACTGGCCACCTTTTTTCTCTCTGCCCCCATCCCCTACCAGCACATCTGCATCTTCCACAGCTGCTACAGACAGATTGGTCATGTGGGCACTGACGGCCCTCCTGCTCCTGGGTGAGTCCTCTATAAGGTGGTAGCAGCAGCAGGATTTTGGGTGAGGGAGGACAAGGTGGGCAGGGCAGGGTGTGTGGGGTAGGGGAGTGGCTATTCCATCCTCAGGTTCCAAATGATGCCATATCTATTTTTGGAGGAGTGAAGAGGAGGGAGCATTATCAGAGCTGGGGTAACCAGGGGGAAAAGAAGGAAAACAGACTTTAAGACCATTCGGTCTTTCCCAGGGTCATATGAGACTTTCATCTCCAACATCCCCCTCCTTCCTTCTTTCTTGTTTTACAGTTCTAAGCACTGGTCAAGCTGGTGAGTCTTCTGTATCTCTCTCATCCCAATTTTTTTGATGATTTCTACTCCACTCCCCTCTAAGTAACCCACTTAGGTAGATTCCCCAGTACTTGGCTGTTCTGGGATAGTATATGTTCCTCAATCCCTGGGACTAAGTTTGTTGGCACTCAGAAATGGATGCTGACCAGTGGGCGGATAGCTTGTAGCTCCATGAATACAGTCTCCTCTTCCGCAGGGATGGGTGAATACATGGGCTGGGGCCTGGGAAATGGGGCCTTCTTAGACTTCAGGACCTCAGGCCGCATGTTTGGGCACCTCACCTTGGTTCTCTTTCCCAAAACTCCTCTCACACACCTCAGCTACACTGGAGAAGCCCATACTGTCTCTACACCCACCTTGGACCACAATCTTCAAGGGCGAGCGGGTAACCTTGAGGTGTGATGGACATTACCCTCTGTTCCTGGAATTGCGGCCCATCAGCACTCTCTGGTATCTGGGCCACCTACTCCTGCCCTCCCACAAGAAGAGCATCGAGGTGCAGACACCAGGGGTGTATCGATGCCAGACTCGGGGAGCACCTGTCAGCGACCCCATCCACCTCTCTGTATCTAATGGTGAGTGGTCTGAGCAAGGGGACAGGGGCACGAGTGTCCTCTGGTGCTACAGGCCCTCCTGTAGGACAGTGGGCCATTTCCAAGGGGCAGGAAACAAGGGCCATCCTGAGGCCTCTCTTGAGCCTCTGGAGTAGGCAGAGGCCCGCATGGTGCTATGTGAGAGATGAAGTAGGGTTTGCCTGGCCCCAAAAGTCCTGTTACTCTCACGCCATAATGTGAGGCAAACGTTTCTGTTTGTTTCTCAGACCAGCTCAGAAGACTAGAGTCTCTGAGGACCTGGGATGCTGGACAGAGAGTACTCTGGGGGATGGGCAAGAAAGGGCAGAGTAAAGCAGGAAAAATGTGTCCCTGGGTGGGTGGAGCATAGCAAGAGGAATTATTCCCACCTGGTAAAGCTACAGTTCTCTGTGTATCAGTGTTCATAACAGTAATGTCGGGACAATGTGACACACACCTGTAATCCTTGCATTTGGAAGGCCATGGAGGAGGATTTTGAGTTCAAGGCCAGCCTGGGCTACATAGCAAATTCAAGGCTAGCCTGAACTACGCAGTAAGACCTTGTCTCAAAAAGAGAACATTTGATTAAAATTTTATAACAGACATGTATATATGTGCACAGAGGGATTAACTGAAATTGACTCTAAAGATATTTGAAGGGTTTCAAAACAGGACAAGAAAAATAATCACTTGTTAATTAAGGTACAGAATTGCAACCTTCATAGGGAATGTATAATTCTAGCTTCATAGGCACGATTTGCCTTTAGAATTTAAGAGATGTCACTCAGTGTTCATATTAGGACTTATACTTCATATTCATACTCTGAGGTTTCCTGTTTGAGAATTGTTAGTGACAGCAATAGTAACACTGACTACAACAGATTGCGATTACTGCTTAGGTTCTGAGAGTAACGCATGGCTTGTGGTACTTCTTTGTGGAATTCCCTCCCAATGTAACATCTGGTATGTGCTAAGGCTATGATCACGCCGTGATCATGATGATGATTGGGTAAATAGACGGTGCTGCCGGGGATATCTAAGGCTGTCTTGAGAAGTGTCCAGGAAGTTTTATTCAGTAGATGAAATCTTTACCTAGATGTGCAGGACAAGTAGGCCTCAAATTAAAATGAAGGAGGGTCTTCTCTGCTGAGGAAATAGCAGGTACAAAGGCCCTGGGGTCAGAGCAGACCCAATTCTCCCAGCAGTTCCTGTAGCTGGAACCTAGCATGTGTTGAATGAAAGGTGGGAGAGTAGAGAAGAAATAGGTTAGGGGAAAATACGAGGGTCAGGTCAGGAAAGCTCTGAAGCCACCCAGAGGAGTTTAAACTTGATTCTGATGGGTAATGCTCTGAGACTGGAACCGAGTCTGGGGCATCTCTGTCTCCCTAGTACATAATGAAAGCCTGGCCTTTCTCTTTCCTGGCACTTAGAGCTTTCTGTTGTATGAGGCTTCTGGCGGGCTCTGGAGAGAGGGAGGGAGTCCTGGGGACAGGAGGGAGGGAGAACGGTATGGGGGAAGCAGGGTGTCAGAATTCGAGAGCTATGGCTGCAAGTTTGGCGCAGTGAGGCTCGCTGCCTGTCTGTTGCAGACTGGCTGATCCTTCAGGTGCCCTACACGGCGGTGTTCGAGGGCGAGCCGCTGATCATGCGCTGCCGCGGCTGGTACGACAAGGTGGTCTACAAACTGCACTACTACCACGACGGCCAGGCGGTGCGCTATTTCCACTCGAGCACCAACTACACGGTGCTGCAGGCGCGCGCCAGCGACAGCGGGCGCTACCAGTGCTCGGGCACCATGCGCATCCCGGTGGAGAGCGCGCCCATGTTCTCCGCCAAGGTGGCCGTGACCGTGCAAGGTGGGGGAGACCGTGACCGTGCAAGGTGGGGGAGACCGGGGACCGGAGAGGTGCAAACGAGCACTGGGGAACGCCGGGACTGGAACCAGGAGAGGAGGGGCGGGGATTCTAGAAGCTGCTGCTTGGTGGATTTCTCTACAGGAAGGAGCACTTTCCCTGCGGCATGCTTTTAGGCTGGTGTCCCTTCTCCACGACACGCAGTGGCTTCTTGTTCTGTCTGGGGACCCCATATGAAGGCAGCTCTGGCCACAGCCCCAGTCAGGAGGGCGGCTGCAGTGGTAGGGGCGAGGGATCTGTTCTCCAGCGTCCCCCTTCTAGGCTGGAGTATCCGAGCTAGGGATCAACTGGGATATCAGGTGTGGCGCCTGGCCTGGTCCCGCTTCCCTTCACACTGTCCCAATCCCTCGTGGACGCGGTCCCCCGGCCCTACATTTCAGAAGGGTTTCCTTCCTCCTCCCACGCGCATGCAGCCGCTTCCCAACCCGTCTTGGGACTTCGGGGGGGCGAGGAGCCCTCGCGGGAAAAGGGAAGGAGCGGGGTGGCTCGGGCCTGTCTATCCCGCTCCTCGGGAGGACCCAATAGGCGTCCTCGGCCTCTGGGATCTCTCCGCAGAGCTGTTCCAGACGCCGGTGCTCAAGGTGCTGCGCTCACCGGAGGCTCGCGGCGCCGCCCCCCGCGGGGTGACCCTGCGCTGTGAGACGCGCCTGCACCCCCAGAAGCGCGACTCGCCGCTGCAGTTTGCCTTCTACAAGTACAGTCGCGCGGTGCGCCGCTTCGACTGGGCCGCCGAGTACACTGTCCCGGAGCCCGAGGTCGAGGAGCTCGAAGCGTACTGGTGCGAGGCTGCCACCTCCACCCGGAGCGTCCAGAAGCGCAGCCCGTGGCTGCAGCTGCCGGGGCCGGGTGAGTGACCGCGCCCCCGTGACGCCCACCTTGGTGGGAGGCAGCTTGGCCTCCTCCGATCTGGACCGCTGTCCAGCCTCTCCCTTTCCAGTTCTGCGTCTCAGGCCTCTTCCTCCGGCTTTTCCCCCTCCCCCAGACCCCGCTCCAAGGCGAAAAGATCTGGGGTGTCTGTTCACAGGCTCTCCCCTGGATCTGGCATCCACCTCCGCCCCGGAGCCCCAGGCTGCAGCTCTGGCGCCGGATAACAAGCTGCTTTCCATCAGAAAGCCTCCAGTGTCCAGGTTGATCCTGTCGGTTACCTCTGTCCCAAACGCCACCTCAGCGGGGTTGCAGTTCCCCGCTGGCGGCAGCGCCCCCACTGCTGGGCCACCTGCCTGCGCTCAGCCCACTCCCGTGGGACAGTGGGCCGGAGCGCTGAAACCCAACGTGGACCTCTTCCGAGAAGTACAGCTGCTCATAAGCCTTTTGAGCCGGGTGGTTGTGGAACTAAAGGAGCCACAGGCCCTATTGGAGCTCAGAGGGAGCCCTGAGACCCCCACTTCCCACTTTGCTGTGAGTCCGGGGACCCCAGAGACCACTCCAGTGGGGACCTGAGAGGCAGCCTCCGTCTTCTCTCCAGGACCGGTCCTCCTGGGTTTGCCTGTTTCCCCTTACCCACAGACCCTTCAGAGCCATCTCTGTTCTTTGTTTTGCTGTGATTATAAAAGAAGCACCCATAAAGTGTGGTGGCTGACGATTCGGACCTCACGTAGCAGTTTGTAACCACACGCATTCTCCCTGATGTGTTTCTTCTCCTCCCAGAATTCAGTAGGGAAAGAGAAATCTGCTATTTGCAACTCTGAGGATTACAGTTTGGAAGTTAATTCAGTCATCCTTAGACATCATTATATAAGCCTGGCAAGAACATATTTCAGCATAAATAATTTTTTGGTAATTAAATTCACTGAGGTCACTGAGCACTTTAGAAAATTTTAGGGTCATGTTCCAATTACTCATAATGAATTCACTCACTCTCTTGTTAATATTAAAGAGACTTTGCCCTATAACTGATGAGTTCACATCTTCAAAGTCCTGGGTTCCATTTAGTTTTAGAGGGAAAGGTATTTGTGTGGGCCTCACATTCCTGGCTTATGAGGCTCATAATTCAGTTAGCCTCTCTCAGATGCCCCCTGCCCTTGCAGTCAGCTGCTAGGCTCTGGTAACAGCAGGGCAGTCCATGGTAAGCTCAGTGAAAAATGAAAGAAGCCTACCATCTGCATTCAGAAATCTCTTTGGGCAAAGTTTAAGACAAATCCTTAACATTGCTGCATAATTTTTAGCAAATTCTTTTCCTCTCTAAAAACCATTCAAACCCTGCCTCACACCTTGAGGTACATACGTACAGATCCATATCTCATCCTGCCCGGAGACATTACTGGGGAATGAAGGAAGAAAAGTGAGAGGCCATTTCAATCTTAAGTTCAAGTTTGCTCCCTAAAAATCCAATTTCTATGAGTTCTCCATCTGCCTACCAGAGTCCTGGGGTCCCTGCAGGGCTGGTACGATTTGTTCTCAGGTCTCATTCTCTTTAGGTCCATACCCTTCTTTGGTTAAGTTTCACTGTTAAGGCTCAGAACTAATAACTATACCCTCCGCTCCTTTACTTCCGTTAGAATCGGACCACCACATTTCACCTCCTTTCTCTCTCCGTTCATCCTTTCTGTTCTAGGGATTGAACCTAGGTCTTTCACAGTGAGCTACATCCCCAGCCCTTTTATTTTCTAAATCACCCAGATTGGGCTTGAAATTGTGATCCTCCTGCCTCAGCCTCTCATAGTGCTAGGATTACAGCATGTGCCTGGCTTCTAATTGATTAACCAGCACAACAGCAACAACCATCACATTCTTCTTAGAATTAGTTTGTACCCTTTTATTACAAAGTCACTGTAGTTACACAGGGAGTAGGCAGGTGCACATGTAAATTACACTGCAATGTGATAAATGCTCTGTGCAATATTATAGGAATTCAGAAAAGGAAGCCAAACCTCCAAAGGAGAGCAAGAATTTACCAAGAAGAGATGTGAGAAAGATCAAGGCATAGGGCAAGCAGGCTGAGGATGCAAAGGCATGGAGATGTAAGACTAGTCTGTGGAGCTGCAAATGTTTGGGAGTGGTTGGAGACTTATGTGTGTTTATGTGGTAGTGGGGATTATATTTTAGACAGGAGGAGTCAGGGGTGAATACGAAGAAGTAGGAAGGGACCAGAACTTGAGAATCTTTAAGAACGACTTTATAGCCTGTTGGGTATTTTGGAAGCATTCCTGACATGAGGACATCCTTACATCTTACTGCAGGAGTTGCCAATGTAAAATTAGAAAGAATCAAACTGATCTTAATGGATACTTGTTTACTTCTGAGAAGGTATGTCCAGGTCCCTGTAACACACCTGGTTTGCAAGGGTCTTTGTGGCTCTGATTTCCAGGTTTCTAATGCAGGCTTATTTCCCTTGTCAGAGCTCTCCTCCTGGCAACCTTCACTTGACTAACTGCACTCTATGCTAGTGCACAGGCTCTTTCCCCTTTCTGATTTTGTCCCCCTGAGGATCCTGCCATCCCTGAGCTAGGATGAGTCCCAAGAGACTTAGTAGTCAAAGTATCTCAGGTCAAGTGAAAAAATCAGTTGATCATTTTTTGAGGAAAAAAAGTAAACTAACAATGCAGAAGAGAGCTAGTATGTTAGCTTCTCCTATAACACACCATGTTAGCAGCCACAGTGTTCCCCTTCCTACCCTGCCACCTATACCCATTTATAAATAGGGGTGTGGGGGATGGGAAAGAGCAAGAACTTTTGGTAAGTTATTCATGACCAAAATTATTCATGGCCAAACCTTCTTGTGTGGGAGAGGAAAATTGACTTCTACCCTGTTGGCTCTACTGTTTTGGAGTCACTCACCCCAAATCTTATACAGGAGGTCAGGACCAAGATCATTCTCTATGATATCTGTTAATAGTCTCCCAGGAAGATCTACACTAAGGAAATAGCATTTTAACAGTAACTATATTCCCATATATAATGTTAAGTCATAAGAGCCCAGCTCCTTAGCTTTCAATTTAGAGGTGGCAGAGTACACAGGTTAAGAAGAATCCTAGCTCAGGAGTCAACAGATTTAGGTTCAAATGTTACTTTTGCTAGCTGAGTAGCCTTGGACATGATACATTGTTGTAGAACTTGTGTCCTTATCTTTAAAACAGAATATGTAGGGCCGGGGATTTAGCCCAGTGGTTCTGTCACCTGCCTCACAAGCGCAAGGACCTGAGTTCAATCCCCGGTACCAAAACAAACAAACAGAATATGTAATTACTATGGAAATCAGTCTGGAGATTCCTCAAAAAAGTAAAGCTAGAAATTCCATTTGACCCAGCTATTTCCCTTCTAGGTATCTTCCCCAAAGAGATAAAGACATCATATTATAGTGAAACATGTATACTCATATTTATAGCAGCACAATTCATAATAGCTGAATCTTGGAAGCAGCCTATATGTCCATTAATAGATGAATGCATAAAGAATATGTGATATTTGCTACATACAATGGAGTACTACTCTGCCATAAAGAAAGATATACTAGAGTCACTTGTAGGAAAATGGATTGAGACCATAATGTAAATTGAAATAAATCAGATACACAAGCTTAAATATTGCCTGGTTTCTCTTATGTGAGAAACACAAATTACAAATAAAGGGCAAAATAAGAGCTAGATACTAGGGAAGTAGGGAAATGGATCTTTCTCAAATGGGAAGTGGATCAAGAGATGGAGGGAGGGGGGGAAGGAAGGGAAAAGAAATTTAGAAAAGAATTAAGATGCGTTACATACATGTACCAACTCCACACAGGGAATGTCAATGTTACATACTGCGAACACATACTAACAAAGTAAAATAATAAAAATAAATAAAATAAAACTGGGTAATAATACTAGTATCAATTTCACAAAATTACTAGGATTGAGATTATGCAAGTAATATACCAGACACAAAAAGCAGTAAATTTTTATAAGATTGTAATTTGCTGAATCTTAAATAATATTAACTGTAGGCTGCACCATTAAAAAGGCATTAAGAGAGGAAAACAATGATCAAATAATTACACAGTATCTTTTAAACTTAATGAAAAATAGGCTTAAAGGGCCGGGGATTTAGATCAGTGATTTTGCGGCCTGCTGTGCAAGCACAAGGACCCAAGTTCGATCCCCGGTACCAAAAAAAAAAAAAAAGAAAAGAAAAATAGGCTTAAATAATAAGTTATTCTTAATTATGTATCGACAGGGAGACATAAGTGAAATAAATTGGGTAAAGTATTTATAAAACTTTTTTTGGCAGGGTCTCATTAAGTTGCTCTGGCTGAGATTGAACTTGTGATTCTCCTGCCTCAGCCTCCCAGAATGCAAAATTACAGGCATGAGCCACCACATCTGACTTCCTAAAACTTTCTTATATTCAGAATCTGACTTTTCTAAATCAGTTTTCAATTCAGATTTATCCACTGTCCATGTTTTCTCACTTCTGTTTCACCTTCTATTCTTTGAAGAGTATTTCACAAAAGAAGCCATAAAAGCAAAAGCTACAGCTATTGTTGCCAGACTTTTAAACTGGCTTGATAATGATTGGAGCCTGCTTACTTTTGACTTCTGCTTTAGGAATGTCGCTAAATTCTTTCGACTCCCTACCCAATCCTCTGTCCCATAGCCAACAGCTGCTTCAGTGTTGCCTAAAAATCTCTTCCCATCTGCTCATAGCCATGCTGTAAATGTTGGTGCTGCCAATTTGGTGCTTATAGATACACAGCAGTGAAAACTAAGGCAAGACAGCAATTTTGCTGGATGTGATGGTGCACACTTATAATCCCAGCACTCTGGGAGGTTGAGGCAGGAGGATCAAAAATTCAAGCCCTGCTTGAGCAGGTAACTCAGCTTGAAGGCCCTGGATTCAATCCCTAGTACCAGAAGAAAAAAAGTGAAATAGATAATTAGTTAAGAGTATAACAGGGAAATATTCATGGAGAATACTAATAATATATTAAGGAAAAGCACATTCAAAGTCGGTATGCTCACCATAACACCATTTTTATAAAACAAATATGCACTTTAAAAAGTATGAGGATGCAGGGCGTGGTGGTGTACATCTGTGACCCCAGCACCTGAGGCTAAAGCAGGAGGATCACTATGAGGTTTGACGCCAGCCAGGGCTACACAGTGAGTTCAAGGACACACTGGATTACATAGAAAGACCCTGTCTCAAAAAAACAAACAACACAACAAAAAAAGGAGGATACATTTTACAGTATTAATATTACATATTACTGGATATCTGGGAAATGTTTAATTCACTTCTCTATATTACTATAGTTCCCTGCAATAGTCATGCATTATCGTTAATAAGTTAAAAGAAGCAACCAAGTGACAAATAAGTCCTATTGTACCAGAAAACACAACAACAAAACCCAGAAATTATAAGATGCATTGTGATTTCAGAGATGTTCAAACATAGTTGGAAAAAAAGTTTTGGAATTAATAAAATACAAAATGCACCATGAACTCTAGAAAAGCAAATTTTAAATGTCTAGAAAAAAATAAGATATGCATGGTCTTACATATTGCCAGAGACTGAGCATGCACTAGAAGTTCATGAAATGCTGAAGGGACCTTAAAAGACTGCTTAGTTCAACCAAGAAATCACTTCTTGAGTTACTTCTAAACTTCTCTTGCTGGACAGCCACACAGCCACTGTGGCCCTTGTGGCCTCCAAAGATAGCCCTCCCCATCTTTGGGAACTAGAAATGAAACTGAGAAGTTGGAACTGAGCTTTCCTTATTTATTTTTATTAGTGTATGTTTGTGATACACAGTGATTACAGTTACTATGGGGAGTGGTACATGCACAAGACATGTCTTTTTTTTTTTTTGGTACCAAGGATTGAACTCGGGTCCTTGTGCTTGCAAGGCAGGAGGCAGAACCACTGAGCTAAATCCCGGGCCCTACATGCCTTAATTCTTTTCATGTCCCTCTACCTTCCCCTGGCTTAGAATGGAGCTTTAAAAATTCCGATTTTGAAAACAAAGTTATTAGTTCACTTTGTCATGCCAAGTGCAGTCACTGTCACCTCCAGCCCTGTGTAGTGGAAATTTCGGCGAAACAGATTTTCAACATTTTCTGGGCCTCTGGTGGGTCAAAGCCTGGCTGAATCTATGCATGCATGTTTCCTGGCCTTCATTCTGCCCCTCCTGTAAGTTACAGTACTTCTGCAGGGTGGAGGAAAGTAGACTCACTCAATTTGGCCAAATTGTGAATATGAGCTTTCCTTATACGCTTCCTAGTGGGCAAGCAAATGTGTCTGGATAGTTGGGGCCCAGATTCAGCCTCTGGCTGGTTTGCTGGCAACAGAAAGTTCCTTCTTATTGCGGCAAGCATGGTGGCACACACCTGTAATCCCAGCTACGTGGGAAGCTGAGACAGGAGGATTGCAAATTTGAGGCTAACCTGGGCAATTTAAGGAGAACTTGTCTCAAAAAAAAAAAAAAATTAAAAAGGGCTGGAAATGTAGAATGCTCCTGGGTGTGATTATAAGTGCTTTAAAAAAAAGATTTTTCCTTATTATAATGAGCAAAGTGATTTTGTTATGACTTCTACTCATTGTACCTCCTAGGGTTACACAGAACAATCTAATGCCTGGTCCTGCTTGCAATCCTTCAGGTATTTAAAGACACTGCTTAGCTCATGCCTAGGTTTTCTTAAAGGTACACTGTTTTTCCACTCCAGAGTTTTCAACTATTTCTTTTTTTGGGGGGGGTACTGGGGTTCAAACTCAGGACCTTGAGCTTGCAAGCAGGGGCTGGAACCACTGAGCTAAATCCCTGGCCCATTTTCAACTATTTCTAACATAGAATACCTTCCTATCCTGGCTTTTCCAAACACATCCTCTGTATTTGGCTTAAAATATGAAGCCCACAACAGACTGCAGTTCCTCAGATGGGTGCATCCGGGATGAATAAAGCGGAAGGCAAGATTTTATTTTTATTTATTACAATTAAGCAGTTATACTTGTGACAGGATGTCAAAATGATTGTTTCAAAATACAATAGATGTGAAATTCTAAAGCCAAAACATCATATGCAGAATTCATAAAGGAAATGGTTGTGAATCTGTTCCTTGACTTTTGGACTCTGAGGTCACATTAGAGAGATAATACAGGGCCAAGATATGGAGAGGAAACAAGATTTACTGACAAATTTGCCCTCACAGTGGGGAAGTGAGAAGAGCTTACTATCTCCTTCTCAAGCCCAATGAAGGACATGCACAGGAGCTTCCCAGAGAGGTCTGAAATGTGTCCCCTGCAGTGAGGAGACCTGGGCCTGCCTTAGGTCTCAGAAAGCTCTGGGAAAGTGAGCTCTGGTTGTGGGCCGGAAGGGCTACTCTGGGGTCAGCTTGCAGTCCATGATATCCTTAAATCACATGTGTCTATATGAAAGTCCACCAAAGACAGAGGACTAGCCTGGGCTTGTTCTGCTTTCTGTAGAATACGGCCACCAGGAGGGGTAGACAAAGGCACCAGAAAGCTAGGTTAGTGTCTGGATTCCTAGGGTCTGAGGAAAGAGATACAAATGTGCACCTGGAAAACAGATGCATCTGCCTAGAGCACAGCATGATAGGAAAGCAGTTCCCAGGGGGAAAAATTAAACATCTCCAAAAAGCCCACAGAAATGCACATGGGCGAAAGTTTGTATTAGCCACCTGCCAAACTCAGAGAGCTGTCAGCTAAATAAGAACTTTCTGTTCATCTCCTCTCCCCTTCTCTTCTACCTTGGCTTAGGTGAGGCTGAAAAGAAAACAGATGCTAATGAAAAGAAAGGAGGAAAGCAGGAAGGGAAGACAGGGAGGAGAGGGAGAGGGAGAAAGAGATAAAAGAGAGAGTCTTAGTCAAGCTCCTCCCTTAGGTCAGGAGCTTACCTGGATACCAGGTCAGAAATTTAACTTGGAATAAAGACAGGTCTAGTCGGGGATTTAGCTCAGTGGTTTCACCGCCTGCTGCGCAGGCGCAATGACCCAAGTTCAATCCCCAGTACCAAAAAAAAAAAAAAAAGACAGAAGGCCTAATTAACATTTGGGACTGGCATTCTAATTTATAAGTTGAAATTATGCCTGTGTCCCAGGGTCATTACAGGATTCTCCATTACTGATAGAAGCAGAAAAATCATGGATCTTTGTGAACTTTAATCACACATGGATCACACAGGACTCTTCTGCAAATAGCAGTTGTGATTTGGTAGGTCTGGGGGTGGGACCAGAGATTCTGCATTTCTAACAAGTGTCCATTCATGCCAATGTTGCTGGTTCTTGGGCCACGAATCGTGACTTTAACATACCAGTAACCCCCTTTATTTGATCTTTAAAACAGAATTATTAAGAAATAGAGTGTTTATTTGGAAAAAGTCATACTATGTAGAAAAATGTTCAATTCTATCTTCAGTTCCTATCCTTCCACCTACTCTATCAGTGGGAATAGATGTAACTCTGTGTAATTATTTGGTGTGCACTCTTCGGAGCCTTTTTTAAGAAAGATCTTCCTAAGTGTAAGATTATATTGATCAAGAATCAGAGAACAGAATCCATTCTTGCTGTTTTAAGGAGAAAGGATTTTGTCACACAGTCTTTGATAGTTTACAGAGGGACTGTGAAGCATGAAGAAACGGACTCCAGACTGAGTTGTCAGCAAAGTCTTCTGATGTCAGTCCACCAAGCGAGGTAACGCCTCTCCCTTGATCAGAACTCATCTGGTCACACAGCCGCTGTTGTGATTTGGGAAATTTCCACGATAAGCACACTGCTGTTGGTGGGGCAGCATGACTACACTATGTCTGGTGCTGTCCAAGAAATGGACGCTTAGGGCTCTGCCTCTAGAACTGTAAAGCTAAGGCCAGTTAACACCAGAGAAAAACCAAAAGCTGCCTCGGCTAGGTTTCTAAAAGTGACTCAGGCTGCAGAAGTACAGCCTCACCTGCTGTTTGGTGGGCTGGGGCTTATGAGCTGGTCAGATGCAAGCGACATTCAGCACCTGGCTGGAAGGAAGTCTCAGGCCCTACCACGCTCTGTAGCTCAGAAAGGTACCTGACAGTCATGAGCAGATGTTGACACCACCCGAATAGACAATAAAGAGGTAAATCTTGGGATTTTTCTGTTGGAAAAGACCTAGAGATACAGCCCAACTTGATACTTTAGCGAAACGGACATTGAGATCCAGAGAAGTTAATACTTGTTAGTTATGGTGTAGAACGAGAACTCAGATCTTTTACATGGAGATCATGTGTCTAAAGAGATTGCTGCTTTCCCAGAAGTCACGTTATACTGATCGATTGATTGATTGATTGAGACAGAGTCTTGCTATGTAGTTCAGGCTGGCCTCGAACTCACAGCGATCCTCCTTCCTCAGCCTTCTGAGTGCTGGGATTATAGGCGTGTGCCACCACACCTGGCTTAGAAGTCAGGTAATATTGACCAGCCTGAGTTTATTGCCTAGAAACCCTTGTGAAAATGTGGATGCCTTCATCTAAAATACACCTCTTTGTTCCCCAACTAATTGGGAGTTCATTTTGAGGACCAACACGCAGAACCTTGTATGTATCTCTTTTTAGTTATGTTTTTGTTAATTTAATAAGACAATAGTAGATCCCAGTGCAGACCCTCTGAATTATAACACATGCAAGTTAGGTAAGCATATTTTTATGCCCTAATCCAAATCACTTTTTTAAAAAAAGGTTGAATAACAGATAAAAGAGTGGATGCAGTGGTGCATACGTGTAATCCAGCTACCCAGGAGGTGGGAAAGTCCAAGGTTGAGCAGCTGCAGCCAGTGAGGGCCTCCCTGCTGGTGGGGACTCTGCAGGGTCCCAGCGCAGTTCAGGGTACTACACAGTGAGGCAGGGAGTGAAACTGATTGTCACTGATTCATGTCACTTTCTTTGGATACAATTGTTTAACAAATTACCAGCCTGCTTCATTGTTCTAATATCCAGCTTGTAATTCTCTCCCATCCCTTCAAGGAGAGCTGTCCAAAAGCTTAGGGCAGTGAACAGTGTGTGAACATTCCCCTACTTTGATGGGCTAGTCACCCTGTCAAAAAACAGGCTATTTGGAAACTGTGGGTGGCAAGGTCTGTAACCCCAGCACTCAGAAGGCTGAGGCAGGAGGGCTGCTGTGCACTCAAGGCCAGTCTGAACCACATAGCAAGACCCTGTCTCATAAAACAAACAAACAAACAAAAACTAGGCTCTTTGGGCAAGACCGTTCTATCTGGGCAAGACGAGTAAGCTCGTGCTGGCACCTAGTGGACACTGCTGTTTTTCATGAACATTAACAGGCCAGCCCTGCAGTCATCAGCTCCAGAGCACCGTTTTCACTGGACGCAGTCCGACAGGTACAGAAACAGGCAAGGCTAAGCATTTAGTACCTTTGTGGCCCCAGCGAGGCATTCTGCGATCCCCTGTGGAAGGGCTGTGGAGACACAAAGCCAGAGAGGGGCAGTCGGAGCCTCTTCCCTTGGCAGGGCCTACAACTCTGAGTGGCCATCGTGCGGGCTGTGGTGGGAGTGTGACTAAACGAGTGGGCCAGGACAGCCTGTGAAATCTCAGAAGAAATCCTCCTTCTTTCCTCGACACATCAGTGACATTTAGGGTAACAATCTCGAATGTTTTAGACCTCACCTCACATCTTTGCACCTTTGACCTATTGCTCTCTATCTTCTTATTTCCATACCTTATCCCTCTTTTATTTTTAACAAAGGGGAAGATCCAATGCAAATGCCACCTACTCTGAAAACATTTCCCTGATTCTTCCAGCCAAAATAAATTCTTTCTTCAGCAGGGTCCCCAAAATACTTTTATAAAAATACTATACTGGGAATTGAGCCCAGGTCCATGGCCTTCACAGCTGAGCTATGGCCCTAGCCCTTTTAATTTTTTATTTTGAGACAGGGTCTTGTTTTGCTGCTGAATTGTACCAAGATGGGCTCAAACGTGTGATCTTCCTGCCTCAGCTTCCCACAGTGCTGGGATTATAGGTGTGTGCCACCATGGCCAGCTTGGTACTTTGTTTTGACTGTCAGTTTTGGGTTCAGAGTACCCCTGTGCACACTGTGGAAACCTGAGGCGGATGTCCTCTTAGTCTGTGCTGTATCTTCAGCACACTGAGCAAGAACTAAAAAACTGACATAAAATCAAAGGGGGTTTCCTTTAAATAATTTTTTAAAAGATTCATTGCTTTGCGATTGGGTAAAGGGGTTCTATTTTTTTTTTTTTTTTTGGTGATACCAGGGATTGAACGCAGGACCTTGTGCTTGACAGGCAGGTGAGGCGCCAGTGAGCTAAATCCCTGGCCCAAAAGCTTCTATTCAACTTCCAAATTTAGGGGTTTGTTTTTCCTTCTTTGTTGGACAAATTTCAAATTCTGCATCTTGAATGTTTGTTAATGACTCATCTCTAATTTTTAATTCTCATTACTAGGGATCAGGGCAAGTAAATTATTAGTGGGAAGTGAGTCAGAAGGAACGAGAAAGAAAAACTTCTTGGAAGAGGCAAGGTAGTGAATATGAGGAAGAAGCGAGAAATAGATCGTTTTGAAGGATTTGGAAATAATCTGCAGATTGACCCATAGTTTAAAGGATTTCCAATTTGCATAGTTTAGTGTCCTTAGGAAATGTGAGAACAGACATTATTGGATGGGGACGCTGAAGGCCTGAGGGTTAGGGTTAGGCTTGGCCATGGTCATTCAACCAACACACAATAGAACCACAACTGAGGTCCAGGACTTGTGCATGTACGACCACAGCTCTTTCCACTACAACACGCTGGAGTCCGAGAGACAGTGGGAAAGTGGCCTGTGGCTATTCCCTGCATATTGTTTACGTGACAAAGCATGGAAGGAGAAGGGTTGTGCAAAAGGCAACCCAGCAAACCAGATACGGAATGGGCAACATCCATGGTCTCCCTAGCTCCACTCATCTGACTCCCTGTTTACCAGTTTCTCCTGTAGCCAAAAAAGGAACTGAGAGCACGACGTCCATGTCACCAGCGGGTTCCTGCTCCAGCAGTTCTCAGAAAGGCACAGCACGGTGTGATGAGTTTGCAAATATTGGGGGGTGGGGTGGAGTGGGGGGATGGAAATTAGGCAGGGAGAGGGGTCTGATTGCACTCTGGTCAGTCACCTCTGGTCCCAGGGTTCTGTGCCGCTGAAGCTATTTCCTCAGAATCTTGAGAACAGGTGCCCTTCCCGGGAAGGATGACACATCTTACAAACACAGGCCTCTGCATTAGTAAGTGGACTTGCAGATGTGGCCATGGCAAGCTAGATGGTTAAGATCTGCTCACCCTGGTTTTCACAGTTGTTGAGTCTTTGGACAGGTTGTACGCAGTGATTCATCTCCTTCACCAGCTTCTTCATTGAGTTATTTGAAGTTACCTCTCCGGGCCACTTCTACTCCTCTGCAATCGTTCTGAACTGCCTTTGGCACAGTGGTGTAGCTTGGAATTTCTTTCTCCCACTAACAAGTCACATTAATAAGCTACTTCTTATTCCAATCCCCCAATGTGGCCACACTTATTTTTCAGAAGAAGGAACTGAGACTTGGAGAAATCAATTAACTTGGTAAGAGCACACGATCACACAGTAGTAAGTAGCAGGGTCAGAAATGGACTGAGATTTAGGCCTAGTTTTTCTCTGGCTTCAGGTAATGTCCTTCAAAGACTATGCTAACTCTAACTAATCACCTTCCTAGGTACCTGCTGTTCACTCACAAACACATAAAGTAATAGAATTACATTATGATCATCCATTTATGTTTTTCTTCAACATTGCTGTTTGGGAGCCTCACAGTACATTTTATGTGCATTTTCATTACTGTTCAAGATCTTAGGTTCCATTAAGAACAGAATCGTAGCTGGGTATGGTGGTGCACGCCTGTGATCCTAGCACTTGGGAAGCTAAAGCAAGAGGATCATGAGTTTGAGGCCAGCCTGGACTACATGGTGGAAACCCTGTCTTAAAAAATCAAAACCAAACCAAAGAGGGAAAGAAAGAAAGAAAGAAAGAAAGAGAAAGAAAGAAAGAAAAGAGGAACATAATTATGAAAATTGCCATTTACTGATACCTCTTGGATCAGGAGCAACAAGCTGGAAACAGAAAGAGGAACTTGCCTTCGGACCATGGAGGGGAGGTAATGGGACAAAAGAAGGGAATCTCCCTGCTCATTGTGCAAAAGAGATGTGCACTTACAGCAGATATTTTGAGAGGAGATAATTATAAATTGTACATGTGATTGTTCTCAAAACTAAAACAGTTTTGAGAAGTAACCAAAGAGAAGGTTGGATGAAGCCATCACACATTTGATCTCATAGTAGTTAAAGAAAAATTTTCTTAATCAGTATCTATCAACATTGCAGGTTCCAGGACATAAAGTCAATACATAAAAATCAATTGCATTCCTGTACATCAATAATGAACTCACCAGGAATGAAATCAAGAAGACAGTTTCATTCAGAATAGTTTAAAAAATTAAATACATAGGAATCAACCTAACAAAGGAGGTGAAGATTTCTTAAAAGAAGATTACATAACTCTGAAGTAACAAACTGAAGAAGATTTTAGAAAATGGGAAGATATCCCTTGTTCTTGGATTGGCAGAATTAATATTGTGAAAATGGTTATATTACCAAAAGCAATCTACAAATTCTTCGCAATCCTCTATGCAACAACATTCTTTAAAGAACTAGAAAAATCAACATTGAATTTCATCTGAATTAGAAAAAAACCAGAATAGCCAAGGCAACCCTGAGCACAACAGACCAGTGCTGGAGGCTGTACTATACTGGACTTTGAGCTGTACTATAAAGCCATAATAACAAAAACAACACGGTACTGACACGAAAAAAGAAATGTAGACCAATGGATCACTTCTTGGCCTTTTGGCTAAGATCAAGTGTAGAAATGTAGACCAATAGAATAGAAGACACAGAAACAATCCAAGTGCTAACAGTCATCTGATTTTTAACAAAGGGGCCAAAAAATATATGTTGGAAAAAAGACAGGTTCTTTTACAAACAGTGCTGTGAAGACTGGAGAGCCACACGCAGAGAAGTGAAACTAGATCCATATCTCATCCTGTATGAAAATAAAATCAAAACAGATCAAAGACCTGGATATAAAACCAGAAGCATTGAAACTGCTGGAAAATAACACAGGTGAAACACTTGAAGTCACTGAAGTCATAGGCACAGGCAAAGACTTTTTGAACAGGACCTCAAAAGCATAGGAAATAATTTCAAGAATCAACAAATGGAATTACATCAAATTAAAAATTTCTGCACAGTAAAGAAAACAACTGAGTGAAGAGACAACCTACTGAATGGGAAAAAACATTTGCCCGCTACTCTTTTGACAGAAGGTTAATATCTAGAATATACAAAGAACTTAAAGAAGTTAATCCCCACAAAACAATGAATCCAATAAAAAGTAGGCTAATGAACTGAATAGATACTTCTCAAAAGAAATTACAGTGGCAAAAAAGTACACAAAAACATGTTCAACATCTCTAGCCATTACAGAAATGCAAATTAAAACTACATTGAGATTCTACTCTTACTTGAGTCAGAATAGCTATCATCAAGGAAACAAAAACAATAAATGCTGATGAGGATGTAGGGGTATAGGGGTTCCTTCTTACATTGTTGGAATTGGTACACCGCTACGGAAATCAGTATGCAGATTTCTTAGAAGACAAAATGGAGAAATACCATTTGACCCAGTCATTCCATTTTTTTTTTTTTTTGGTACCGGGGATTGAGCTCCGGTCCTTGTGCTTGCCCGGCAGGCGGCGAAACCACTGAGCTAAATTCCCGGCCCGATTCCACTCTTGGACATACTCTTTTTTTGTTTTTTGGGGGTTTTTTTGGTACTGGGGATCGAATTGAGGACCTTGCACTTGCGAGGCAGACGGCAGAACCACTGAGCTAAATCCCCTGCCCTTCTTGGACATACTCTTGAAAGAATGAAGGTTGCATACTATTGATACATCCACGACCATGTTTACAGTAGCGCAATTCACAATAGCTAAGATGTGGAAATAGCCTGATCCCCGTAAACAAATGAATGGATAAAGAAAATGTAGTATATACACACAACAGAATATTACTTAGTCATGAAAAATACTGAAATCATCCCATTTGCAGTAAAAATGGATGGAACTAGAAACCATTACATTCAGTGAAATTAGCCAGAATCAGAAAGTTAAGTATCACATGATTTCTCTTGTATACAAAACCTAAAAATACATCAATTAATAAATAATGAAAATGAGGAGAGGAAGCCAGGAGGTAGACTTCTGAAGATGGGGGAGAGCTTAAGGAGGAGGGGGAAAATGGGAAAGGGAGGTAATGGGATTGAAATTGATTAAGATACATTAAACACTTTAACTAACTTCCTCAAATAAACCCCATCTTCATGTAATATTAACATACACTAATAAAAAAGGGCTATCACAAAAAAAATTAAGAAGAGAAGATTGCAAGCTCATAGCTGATGAGGGAAATTAAATTATGGCTGTGCATACATGTATGTGCGTGTACCTATCAAATCTAAGACTAGCGACCTCTTCTTTTTTCTTTTCTTGGCCTCTCTGAAGACAGTATTTCCTTCCTTGAGCCCAACATCTTGCTTTTCTTGCAGGATGACATATTTTCATTTTTCCACAAGACAACAAATGTGCAGATAGCTTGCAAAAGGGCAAGTAGCGCCATCTAGTGGCTAAGAACACAAATACAGAAGCTGTTCAATCCTCTTTTCCCTTTGGGAATTGGGGCACACCTCCTAAGCGGTGAATCAGCCTCTGCAGATAGTAACAATCCAGATGTACGGCTTCTCCCGCATCCATCCTCGAAGAAGCTTCCAGTTATTTAAGGGAGTTGAGGAAAGAAAGATCGCTTCCAGGAGAAGACTAATAAAGATAAGGAAATGATTAGGATAATAAAAAGGTCAGTACATGAACCCTTTTCTCTTCCCAGAATGTAAATACTTGTATCTGTAAGTGCTAACAGTGAATAACCTTAGTAAATAAAAATAAATAAAATATGCATATAAAGTGCATTATTTTTAATATGTAAGTGTCCCTCAAGTCCCAGAAGTAATCACTATTAACAGTTAGATATATATCTTTCAATAGTTTTTTATATATAAAGATATACATGTATATATACATTTCAAATAAATGAGCTCAGCTATAGTTGCTTTTGTAAAGCAGTCTTTTAAGAAACTTTATAATATAGGTAGCACAGATCACTTCCTTAATAAGTTTGTGTGTGTGTGGTACTTGAGATTGAACCCTGGGCTTTCGCTCTGAGCTACATCCCCCTAGCCCCTTTTATTTTTTATTTTGAGACACTGTTTTGCTAAGTCACTCAGCTGCCTGGACTGGACTCAAACTTGTGATCCTCCTGCTTCAATCTCCCAGAGTGCTGGGATTACGGGTGTGTACCACCACACCCAACTCTTCATAAATTCTTACTAGTTGGCTAATATTTCATTGAGAAGGAAAACAACCTTTTCAGCCAATTTATTACTTGCACTGTTTCCAGTTTTTCATTATTACAGACAAGTGATGCTGAACTGGTGGTTATCAAGATCATCCTCAAGCTCCCTCAGGCTCACTGATTCCCCAGAAGGACTCACAGCCCTCAAAAACGGTGTTTTACAAAGTTATGGTTTATTCTAGCAAAAGGACACATTAAGATCAGCAATGGGAACAGGTGGAGGTCTGGGATGTAGCTCAGTGGCGCACGCCTGCCTGGCAAGTGCAAAGTTCTGAGTTTGATCCCTGGTACCAAAAAAAAAAAAAAGGAAAATGTGCATGCTAAAGTCCAGGAGAAACCAGACACAAGCCCCCAGGTATCCCTTCTCAAAAAGAGTCATACAGGGAGTGCTGAATTCTCCCAGCAAGGATGTGTAACAGCATGTAATAGCACGTGTGAAGTACATACACAGGAAGTGCCCCACACCTGGTGCCCAGGGTTTCTACTGTGGGGTGGAGATACGGGCTTACATCACCTGCATGACTGCCTTAACTGCTTAGTCTCCAGCCTCTCAGAGGTCAAACTGATACCAGGTGGCCCAGCATTTCAGCACGCAGGAGTAAGCCTTTACTGTAAGTCACATCATTAGCATACATGATCTAGTCAAACTGATACAGCCTGACCCAGGGCTTGAGCACAAAGAAATAGGCCTTAACCGTAAGCCAAGTTATTAGCATAAACTATCTAGTCAAACTGATGGACTGTGGGCCAAGAGGCAGCCCAGGACCAGTCCCCCTGGACACAGGCCTCTCTTGGGAAGGTGCAGGCTTAAGTGACAGGAACCAGCAGAGTTGACCTTTTCCTGCGCAGATGCCCTTTGTGTCTGATCTGACACTGCGCAGGCCCTCAGGGGCCCGCTCCCACGGGTCAGCTTCCACGCATAATCTCCAGCGCCTTCTGGCAAGTTCTCCTCAATCTTCTAGCCTCATCCTGTGCATATAAACTAGATTTTCCTTTCACTCAGAAAATGGAAACCATTAGAAAAGAATGTGTTTAACTTCTCAACACCAGAACAATGAGCTTCCCCGAAGCCCTGCCTGTTCTTTCTCCCTTCCTCTGGTTACCACGGAAAAGGCCAATCTTCTACCTGCTGGGGATCACACCCCTCCTCCATTTTATTCAAGGACCCCTGGGCTGGGGATGTGGTGGGAGAGCATGTGCCTAGCACGTGACAGACCCGGGTTTGATCCTCAGTACTGGAAAAAATTATTAAAAAGAAATTCCTTTTCTCTTGTATCTTTAAATTCACCCCCCTCCCTGTTGTACTTCACCAGAACTTTGTTTTGTTGTTTTTTGAGACAGGGTCTCACTATGTAGCCCAAGCTGGCCTTGAATTCACCGATCTTTCTGCCTCAGCCTCTCAAGTGCTGGAAATACAAGGATGAGCCATCTGGCCTCAACAGAACTTATAAAAACCTTGTCTTTCATATCTGTATTTGTATCTACATCTATTTGAAAGAAACAGCACCCTCAATTTCACATTTCCCTTTGACTTTGTCTCTCCTTTCTTCTTGAAGTGCTAGTCCACTCTTGCTCCTCCTTTTTCTGCTTCCCACTTCTCCGTGTCCCCTGCAATCAACCCACCCCCAACAGCTCCACTGTATCTACTCTCACTCAGGATGCTTAGACCTTGCGATTAAGTCTAACAGCAGCTTTTAGTTCTCACTTTACATGACCTCTCTGTCGTATGACTTCACTTCTGAGATACCAGCTTTTCTTATTATCTCTTTGACTATGAGGCAGTTTCCTGATGTTTGGGGGGTTTTTTGTTTTGTTTTATTTTTTTGAGCCAGCATCTCATTATCTAGTCCAACTTGTAGATCCTCTTGCCTCAGCCTCCAAAGTGCTGGGATTACAGGTGTGTACAATTATGCTTAGCTTCTCGTAGGTTCCTTTTACTTACTTGTCCGTTAAATCTTATTTTTCTCCAGCAATCTCTTCATTCCTTTGCATTTTATACTCTCAACCCTGACAATCTCATCAATCCTAGTCTATTTATAAATATCACTGGCTTGGGTCTGTGGTCCCCAAGGCTGAAATAAAAAGCTAAACCCATCTTTTAAAAATAAATTTGTAGGTTCGCTGATTTTCATCGCTGAAAAAGAAATTTCAGGACACATCAGCAAAAGAAACACAAGTAGAGCAAAAATGTGTATCATGCAATGAAAGCAGAAATCAGCTTTTAGTGTAAAGCAAAGCCACACAGCACCCAGGAGGCCTGAAAGGGACTCCCAGTTTAGGGCTTTTATACTAAAAAAAAAAATGACTACACTGCTAAAATTATCCATATAAACACAACAAGGACATTCTTTAGAAGGGTGAAGATATCTTGTTCCTGGGCAAGAAAATTCTCCCAATCTATGAGGCCTTTGGTTGTTGAGCCTCCAGGTGCCTGGCCCTGGTCATCGCCCATCTGTGTGAGCTTCACCGCACCTTTCTGACTCCTTCTTTGGCCCCTGTAACACCCTTTGCCAGGACCCTGCTCACATCCTCCACACATATGCAAGCTGCCAAGCTCCAAACCTTACTTTCTTAATCGAGTCAGTATGGCTTGGGCAACTTCAGCTGTATCCTGCAGGTTGCAGTCTTCTTACGAAGTACAATTGTTAGTTATGATATCCTTGTCTCCTTTCTACCTTTTATTTCTTCTATCCTACCTCATAATGACTGGACATCTTTCCTAAGTGTCACAGCTCAGTATCCAACCAGCCAATGGTCACCCTTACTTGAGAATTAGGATGTCCGAAAATGGGTTTGCTTTTCTTCATATGGACCCTCCTTTATTATTCCCAGTGTTGTGAATGAAACCATCATCTGCTTAATTACCCAAACCACAAACAGTCATTTTTTATTTCTCCCTCTTTCATCTCCCATATCTATCTGGCCTCAACATCTCTCTTCTGCTTTGTATAGTTCTTGAACACATTCCCTTTCTCTCTGTTACTTCTGCCAGTTCCCTAGCCTTTGTCATGAAGGACTCCATAACTGCCCAATCTCATAACTGGACCCTGCCTCCAGAACTGTCCTCCTCAATCCATCCCCACACACTGTGGTCAGGGATTTTTCTTAAAAAGCAAATCAAGTACAGTACGTTATTCTGCTATTTTAACTTCTTTAATAGTTTGCATAGTCTTTAAGAAAAAGGTAAAACTTCTTAAGAAGGCATCGTGTTGCCCTCATGATCTTGCCATGCCTATCTCTCCATTGTCCTATGGACAACGTGAATACCATCTGCGCCTCCTTCTTCCTCTCCAACAACACATTTATCTTTTGGTGGGGGCTTTCTGGCCATTGTAGGTAGATGCTGGTCCTTCTGCTTAGAATTTCTTTCCTCACCTCCCTCCTTTTTGCCTGACAAATTTCGATTCACTCTTCAAGATATAAATCAAGCATTACCTCCTCTGGAAAGCTATGCCTGATTACTCCCTTTCGTTAGGGTGGAGCCCTAATGTGTTCCCTTAGTACCTTGCTCTTATCTCCTTCCTGTTTTAGTCCAGGAACTATATATTTAAAAAAAATCTCTAACCCATTTTGAGTTTTTTTGGTGTATATGGTAAAAGGTAAAGATCTAACTTCATTCTTCTGGATATGGGTCTCCAATTTTCCGATCACTGTTGAGACTGTCCCTCTCTCTTGCTGTGGTCTCTGCATCCCTGTATAAGTTCATTTGCCCACGTATGTGTGAGAGTCTATTTCTGGGGTCCGTATTTTGTTTTTGGTCTGTATGTCTGTCTTTTTGCCAGTTAATTTGTGACCAATTACAGATTTAGTACCTCTCTAGCCTGCCCTCCCTGTAGATAATTTATTAAGACACCTGTCACAGAATGAAACCCATTTCCTGATAGCATCCTAGCTACAGCAAAGCCCTGATTTCATACACTTTTGTTCAAATTACCTACCGATTCAAATCACCCAAATCCTTCAACAGGCCCTTCCCGACATCTCTTACTAAGAGGGTCTTAAATTCTCCATAGCTCTCGACTGAATAATAAAACTAACTCGTTCAACTACATTCCTGGTGTTCTTTGGCTAGAGAGCAATGGCATACAAAAACATGAAATTAGTATACACAAAATACATAGAACAGTGAGCAGCAAGAAAAGAATTTACATCCCAGTAGAAAACGGGGGGGCGGGGAGGACAGTCAAGGGAGAAATACAAACGGCTTCTTAAGCACTGAAAGAATGCTTCACTCCAAATACATGAAATGATTCGGCTGACTACAAATTTGCAATTGTTCCTGCTGCCCCTATAAGCCTGATAATCCATGTACTTAGGGAAGCTTATCCTCTACCACGAAGTTTGGAGGGTCGAAGGGAACATGCGTAGACAGGCCGCTCTGAACCGGCTTAGCGTACCTCCCCAGCAAGCTCGCATTCCCGGGGTCGGCGTGGTCCTCCGAGGGCCAAGGCGGCCTGGCGCAGGGAAAGGACGTTCTAGCCAGCCGCTCACGCGGAAGGACGACGTTCTAGCCGGCCGCCCACTCGGTGGAAGGCCCGTGGCCGCCTCGCCTCCGGGCGCCGCCATGTTGGAGGCGCAGGGCCCGAGCCATGGCTGCCAGCGCCGGAACCCAGGCGGGGACCCAGCCAGCTCCACCGAGAGAATGCTGGAAGTGCGGCCGGGGCTGTACCTGGGTGGGGCGGCGGCCGTCGAGGAGCTGGATCATCTGAGGGAGGCTGGCATCACCGCCGTGCTGACGGTGGACTCGGAACCTGCTTTCAAGGCGGGGGCTGGGCTCGAGGGTCTGCGGAGCCTGTTCGTGCCGGCACTGGACAAACCCGAGACCGACCTGCTCAGCCACCTGGACCGGTGCGTGGCCTTCATCGGCCAGGCCCGCGCCGAGGGCCGTGCCGTGCTGGTGCACTGGTGAGTGCCGGGTTTGGGGGCGAGAGGTGGTGCCCCGCCTCGCTTGGAGCCTGCGGTGCTCGTCCTCGGTGTGTACCGCGGCCCCCAGGACGTGACGAGGGGCAGTCACACCAGGGCCCCTTCCGCCCGCTCCCGCAGGGGGCCTGTGTCCCAAGGAGGGACAGTGCCTGGAGGCTGGCTCCTGCTTTCATTCGTTAATGTTTTGGTTGGTTCGCTCTGGAGCAGTTGGTTGGTTTTTGGGAGGCGTGGGCGGCCAACAGATGAAGGACAAGGTCTCTACCCCTTAGGTAGTTTACAGCTCTTTCGGAGAAGCCACCCACCCCAAAGACTGTACTGTAGATTAGATGCCTAGGAATGGAAAGCTAGACACCTTTCCTGTGATACTCCTGTAACAAAAGACAGGTTAGCAAGAGAAGAGCATGACAGATTGGATCAATCGAAGTTTTACATGATAGGGTAACCTTCAGCAATGAAGACCCATAGACTCAGGGAAAACCGCCCGTTTTTATGTTTGGATGCATTTAGCAATGGGCAGTTGTATAGAAATGTGGTCGGAGAAAAGGGGTAGGACCTGATGGAATGGATGGAGAGGGATAACCTAGGAAGGCCTGTATTCGGTTTCTTCTTGGCTTGTGTAGCATTCCTTCCTCCCAAGTGTAGTGCAGGACCCCTTCTGGAGCGAGGGTCTTAGCATCTATCAGACAAGATAGGTGAAAGAATGCCTTTATAGACAGCTCTTAAGACAGAAAGGTGAAGGAAGTTTGGAGTGGTATTTCTAGGTTTTATGACTGGTTTTGGAAGAGAGGGATTCTAGCTTCTGTGACCTGCCTTGGGGGAGAAAGGGAAGCAGGAGAAAAGATTGATTAGAAGAGAATTTGTCCAAACGATTCTGTGCATGGAAGCAGTCACAAAGTAAAATCACCCCACTGGCTCAACATGACTCAAATATTTATATATCCCTTTTTTTATAGGGGAAGGGGCAAATGGGAAATGTAAAACAATTTTAAGGGACTAGTGAATGATTTTTTAGGAGAATTCACTGGGCTTGAAGAAACAGTGGCCTGTGCCAAAATCTGCTGGACCCACAGAACAGACTGTAAATTGTAAATGATTCTCTTTGGAATATTGAGTAGGACCAAATAGATGACAGGGTGTGTGACAAAAATCTCTCAGCTCATCCAGACAGACACTCAACAGTCTAGGTTTGTTGACGGACTAGGCTTTCTCCCTAGTGTATAAATTTAGTTAATGAGAAGTCAGAAAAGAGACCAGAGGTGGTTGTTTTCTTCTTTGGTGAGGCTGAACTTTTAGCAAACAAGAAGATACCAGAGTAAAGCCTCTTCTAGTATCTGCTGCTAAGTTCCTTTACTTAAAAATAATCAGCATGCCATACTTGGAGGTGATAGCCCTTGAATTCCTTCAGTGCTATAGTGGCCACCCATTGGCATCCAAAAGGATAAAACCCTTAAGAGCTAAGTGAATGCCCTTAAAGCTGTCCCAACAACAAAGCAACTCCAGTTAAAGAACAAGAGCCTCCTCTCAGTAGGTGGTCCCAAGATGGTCAGATCTTTTTTGTTGTTGTTAAATTCTTTTATTGGTACATTTTAGATATACAATACAATTACATTTCTCTTTACATAATGCATCTTGGTTCTTATTTTTCCCCATTCCCGGCCCTCCCTTCACCCCCTCCACCCTTCCCTATTTACAAAGACTTTATTTCCATTTTT